CTAGTTAGATTAATGATCTTTGGTTTAGCAAGGTGTGCTAGCAGTCAGCTGATAATGATAAAATGTAGTATGCAGACTCTGAACCGTATGCCCTCAGAATGGCAAAAGTAATCAAGAAGTTTATTAATTATTACAAATGCCCACAGTAGATTATCTGCTTAGTTCCATTCTAGGGCTCTATTCATCATATTTTCTTGTAATGGGGTGATGAGTAATGATGTCACTAGCAAAAAACAACTAACACCTTTGCCTGTCTTATGTAAGTGTTCTTTGACTGCCAAGACTGAAAAAAAATGTGTTTAAAAGGTTTAACCTTCAATATTTCTTTACTGTTCTTGGGTACACTTACTTTATATGGTCATCTGTTTGCACTTCACTGTAATCATTTTGATCATCTTCTTTTACATGTGTAAAGTACATGAAAGTATATGTATATATTTTATATTCATGAATACCGTATAAAACTCTGAAACAGTTACAAAGAAGTCTGCAAACAACGTATTTTTACATGTTGAGGTTCAAAATTTTTAGGAGATGCCATATTTCAAGGAACATATTGGTCATATAAAAGTAGATCATTGATCTGGTACAATAAAATAAAAACAATATTTGCCTTGCCTTTGTCATGGCAGACTTCAAATATTTAGTGCAGTTTGGATGCTGTGCTCAATATCCTAGAAGAAAAATGCTTAGCACTCTGCCTTACAGGCAGTTCACCCAAAATGTGAGTTTAAGTGTGCTAAATAACACAGTTATCAAGAATAGTGTGCAAAACAAGTGCAGGAGTGTTTCCCCATATTGCATAACACTCTGTAAAGTAAACAGGTCTGAACAACCTCTAAAGAGGAAACAACTTAGTTATGGATTCTTTAATGGTTTCTCATAACATGGATTTTTATACAGATATTAGATTTTATCACCTTTTAACTGTCAACAACTTGGATGCTGAAATGATCATTTCATCAACTCTGCTAAGGGAACGCATGGCTGTTATTTGCAGTCCGAGACATGATCCCAAAGTTTGAAAGCTGAACAATTTATGGTAATTTGCAGTACAAAGGGTAATTTGTCCCATCACATGAGCACATCAGGAGTGAAAACTAAAACTGATTATACTTTGGAAAGAAGCTTTGTGTTTTCTGTTTACAGAGGATTTGTCTTTGAGAACAAAAGATGGATTAATTCAAAGAAGCTTGCTGAACCAATAAAGTGAAAGCAAAACTAGCCATACAGATCTGACTACAGGGAATTCATTCACATTATTGAGAGTCACCATCTCCAAACAATTTGGATAGACATGGTGATGGCCAAAATATTACAGAGGTGCGCAGTCTAGTCGGGTGACAATTGTGCACATCATTATTAGAGATCATATAAATGGTCAAAGTAACCTTCAGACAATTACATTTTATCATGGTGTTGAACAATATCAGAAGAAAACCACAAGCAGATGCAATCAATGCTGGTTTATTCAAGTGCTTACCAAAATTTTAATTCTCTGTAGATAATAGGTTCTTTTCACATAGCTTTACCACCAGAATACTAAGATATAACAGGTGTTTATGTACATGAATCCAAAGTAAATTATATATATATATATATATATATATATATATTTATATAATCTTTTTATTATTTATTTATTTTTATTTTCTTTTTCTTATATTGTTTATATATATACAGTATGCAATCCATGAAAGAGGTATGCTGATGCTCTCTGTAGGTAACGGGAGGGTTTTCCAACATGGTTTTAGTAATGTCAGTGTTTCAGCAGTGCGCAGTCCACTTTTTTCAGAAAGGTAGGCTGCACCTGGCTGAAGCATTGACATTAATAGAACCATATTGGAAATTCCTCCTGTTGCAAGTCCTGCTGAGTACACCTGCTGCCTGCTTCTAGATTCTCTTTAGTAAGACATCAGACACTTATGACTCCTGTGCCCTCAGCCAGTGTAAATCGATACTATCACATAGCCTATTCTCACTGTACGTATGTATTTCAAAATGTAATGCTATGACATAAGTTTGCCCTTAAAGGTTCAGGAAGTCTAATGTTCAGTATTCTATTATCTCTAACATAAGTATATATATATATATATATATATATATATAAAGTCTATACAACCCTGTTACAATGTCAGGTTTCTTTACTGTAAAAAAATGAGACAAGGATAAAGCATTTCAGATTTTTTTCCATTTTTAATGTGACCTATAAACTGTACAACCCAATTGAAAGACAAACTGGAATCTTTTAGGGGGGGAGGTAAATATAAAAAAATTAAATATTGAAGACCGAGACAAACAGTCAACTAGCATTTTCAAAGGAAGTCAACAAGCAATGACAGCTTAAATATTTTTCCCAGGGTACTTCCAGTAACCGAGTATTCAGAGTTAGCTCTTATACTAAAATCTGTTATTTGCTAGACACATGATAGAGGAGATAAAAGAAAACATTGTGGACATGTGTTCCTTTCATTAACCAAAGAGAAATAAAAGAATAAGCATTGAGAAGGAAATGATGTCTTTTAATTATGAGTAGACATCAGAAGAATCCTAGCTGCTTTTTGTTTGTATACCTTTTAGAAGTGCATAAACATTTGTTATTATTTCACTGTAGTAACTATAAATTGCCATCACATTTATCTTTCATTCCATCTACTTCGGTGACTAGTGAGTCAGCTTCCTTTTTATCAACTCAACTATATAAAAAGTACATGTCCAAATGGATGGCAAAAAAAAATGTGATTGACAAGAGGGTATCCAGATTAATAAAAGGAATTTAATGACACATTAAGGAAGGAAATTAACAGAACCTGTTAAATGGAATTTGTAACCAATGGAGGGGCATTTTGGAGGGAACTGACAACGGGTTAGTTCCCCTGTGACAGATGGGGGTAATTGACTGGAGAGGAGCTGTGGCTGATTGCATCTACTGCATAGACATCAAGCACTTATATAAGTGATTGCAGTGTAATGCAGAATTTTAATTATTGCAAATCTTAGGGTGTAAATGTTGGTGTGTTAATTTCTGTCATAGCTTGAAGCAAACCACACACCAATCCCCTCATATGTCCGACATCCTATGCATACAATAGAACAGCCTGATGCCATAAATTAGGCATCTTTATGTTCCAATGCTGCAGAAATTGTCTGCACAAAAGATCTCACTTCACTTGTGTTGTATGACTTGTATGACTTGAGCTACTAAATCAAGTAGGTCAAGTCATACAAGTCATACAACACAAGTAGGCAGCAGCAAGTTAAAAGAGAAGTATGGCTAAAGCATTTTAGGCCATACTTTTCTTGTGGGTCACAGGGGGTACTCTCCTGTGACCCAGAGTCAGCTAATAGCAGGGTATTGCCCGCTATCAGCTGATGTAGCAAAACTACTCCAGGATTCGGAAGGATCCCAACAATATTATCGGGATCCACCTGGATGCCTTACAGGCAGCTCTGACTAAGTCTCTTAGTGCACCACTGAGAGCCAAAGCCATCTGCTCCTGCCGCCTCTCCAGTCCAGCACTCCAGTGAGCTCTGGAGGAGCAGAGCAAAGAGCGGTGACTGTCACTCACCACTCTCTGCTCTGAGCAGACTGAGAACTGAGCAATCAGTGGTAATGTGATCACTCAGTTATTAGTCTCAGATCTGACATGGGACAGCTATAGAGATGGGACAGTATAGAGGTGCGTATATGTGTTTTATTTTTTAATCCCACACTTTAAAGCATACTATCCTTCATATCAAACAGCAACATTTCAAGCCATGAAACAGACTCTTTTTCAAGCATGGAGTATGAGGTCTAATTATGTCTGTGCAAACCCAGACTTAGTCTTAACTTAACATTACATTTTACATTTGACGTCAACAGAACCTCTTTTGCGGTATATCATGATGTACAGCACTAATACAAAATTGACTAAAACTAAGCTTTAGTGCACCCCTCTGGATATGTCAGGAGCTACAATTGAGGCCCTTTGTATTTATCAAACTGACAACCACTGATGTAAGATGTTAATTATTACCAAAACCATGAAATGTTTTGTTTCATGAGAAGGTAATGTAACGTCATAGTTAAAAGATGTGTTGTGTTGTGTTGTGTTGTTTTTCCTGTAAAGGAAAAAAAAAAAAATACATGCCCAGGGGCGGACTGACCATTTGGAAACTCGGGCACTGCCCGAGGGCCCGGGGTCAGTAGGGGGCCCCATGAGATGCCCCTGGTACCTTTTTCATAGGCTTTTTTGAGTTTGGGCAAGGACACAGGGGCCCCATGATCCCCTATTGCCCGGGAACCCCATGAGTTGTCAGTCCGCCCCTGTACATGCCACACATTAGCATTTGAATCAAGCATTTTAGTTCATTTGGAGCCAATAATAATGTCACTGCAGATATATGCCTAGTCTTTTTTCACATATTATTCTTTTGCATGTTTTCTTATGACTTTTCTGTTTTATTTCATATGTCATTCTCTTAGGATGTTCCATAGGTTTCCCTAATATTGAAGGCATGGCCTCGTTCTTTACAAACCAAACAAATAGTCCTTTCTGGAAGTACAGGTTCTCATAACAGCTCAGCAGAGATGTGGATTATTTGCCTTATGCAGAAGTCTTGCTACATTACAGATACTGTATTCCCATGGAAAATCATCTAGGTCTGAGTGCTGCAATTCCCTCATGAGCCAAAAGTGCACATCAATGACATTTAACTTCAGTCTCTTGTGATAAAAAAGCAATAGATTAAAAACATATATCCCATCACTTTTATTTTTATGGATTTATTGGCCAATCTGGTTGAAATTAAGACACTCTGCACTGCACTGAACTGAAGAAAACCAGATGTCCTTGTTAAGTGCCATATAAATATCCTAATACGTATAACGTGTGAATCATGAGGAACCAAATTGACGTTTTCCCTCAGTAATGTCTGCCAACAGCAGTGCAGTATTTACAGATGACATGACTGTTTATCTGTCACAATGGAAAATAGCAATGTCCAAAATTACTTACGTGAGAACATAATTCACACTGACGATGCAATGTGGTCTGGACGATCTGCTGTTGTGCACAATTGTAGCGTAGCTCTGTACCCAAACCCATCCTCCATGTTTAGCCAGGAACCGATAGTACTTTGTAGTAACTTGTCCTTTCACAAGTACTGTATAATAGACAGAAACACGTAGTTTAGCTTTTGCAGTATATTTTTTTATGAGTTGTGTTGACAGCACTTTACTGTAGGTTGCATAATGCTCAAGGCTTTATTTCCATTACTTTAGTCTATAAGCACACAATCTTCGGCACCCAGAGAAACATCCATCTGCTGGGATCACATCTTTTACACAGAATATTCTCTTGATCCTAACTTGTTTCCAAATATTTTGACATTGTGTAATAAGTAGCCATGAGATTACTATATTTCTATATTCCATAGGTACTATGCTACTGAGCCGTTTGGCAAATCTGGCTCTGGGAATGCTGTACAATTAGCAATGTAAACTGAAGGAACCAAACTGATCATTTTTGCCTACTGATTACTCAGACATCTTAAACAAAGGAGTTTTTACACAATTTAATTGGTGTCTGTAACGGAGCTTTGCTTCATATACAACTTGTGTTTAAAAGCGTCATAGAACCTGTCTATGGGGACTGAGCAAACTTGGACAAATAAGAGCAGTCAGGGAAACAGCAATGGGACAGGTTAGATTATTTTGTCTGAGTGCCACTGCTTCTTTGTACAATTCATGTTAAAGCTGCAACCTGGATACACCTTAACGTAAAGATATTTAGAACATGCCAGCATGTCTCTCTGTTTTCATTGGGTAGCTTAAATTGGTTATAAAGCCCAGGGGCGGACTGACCATTTGGAAACTCTGGCACTGCCCGAGGGCCCAGGGTCAGTAGGGGGCCCCATGAGATGCCCCTGGTACCTTCTTCATAGGCTTTTTTGAGTTTGGGCAAAGACACAGGGGCCCCATGATCCCCTAGTGCCCGGGGGCCCCATGAGTTGTCAGTCCGCCCCTGATAAAGCCTTAAGGCTTTTCACCTTAATGCATTTTATGCGTTAGTGTGAAAAACCTATTGTGCTGCACAATCCCCTACAGCCCCCCTTTTTCTTACCTGAGCCAGATCTGATTCAGCAATGTGCTCTAGTCACTGTCTCCCTCCTCCCTGGGCAGATCGATAGGAGCCATTGCCTCCCGCTGCTGTCAATCGAATGCTGTGCCGAGGGAGCAGGTGGTGGGGCCCAGCCACCCGCTCTGTGTCAATGGACACAGACAGGGCAGCTCCGGAGTGAGCCCACACAGATGCCCCATGGAAAGCGTCTTTCCATGAGGGCACCCGCCGAAGAGGAGGGGCCAGGAGAGCCAGCGAGTAACCCCAGAAGAGGAGGATCAGGGCGGCTCTGTGCCATACCATGGCACAGAGCAGATAAGTATAACATGCTTGTTATTTATTTTATTTTTTTAAACTAAGCTTTAATGTTGCTTTAGATTTGGACATGTCTGCCATAATTTATGGAGCAACATGTCTGTCCAGACATATGCGGCAAATTTTTAGACAGACAGATATATATCGAAAATTAAGGATGAATATAGTAATGTTAAATGATAATGCCATTTTAGTCAAAAAGGGACTTGGATTGTAATTCGAATTTCCTTTAGGTTACTATTTGTAATTGAGAAGGCTGAAAAGAAAGACAATATGGCTGCCAAGTAAATCTCATAACTACTGAACTATACAATCTGATAAGTATCCTGGTAGTTGTTATTGAAAAAAGAACAATACTTACATAAATGATGTGCACACCTCAGATGAAATGTATCACATCCATGCACATGATGATAAAGGGTCTTTTCAATCAAATCTTGAGGTTCATATCCAGTCAGCTCTGCAACTCTAAAGTAAACAAAAAATGATAATTAGAGCCTTTTCACGTATGAATGATGGCAGAAAAAAAGACCAAATAGTGCACCAAGTCTGCCCCATTTTTTAAATTTTTTTTTTTTTTTTGTTTTTTTTTACTGTTACTTTTTTGTCGGAGCATAAATCTACAGTATGTTTGTTCCAAGCATGTTTGAATCCACTTACTGTTGCCTGATTAACCACCTCTGCTGGAAGTCTATTCCAAGCATCAACTATTCATTCAGTAAAATAATAGTTTATAAGATTAGTTTTGAACTTTCCTTCTCTTAGTTTGAGATCATGGCCCTTTGTTCTTGGCATCATATTGATTATTATTATTATACAGGATTTATATAGTGCCAACAGTTTGCTCAGCGCTTTACAGTATAACGGGAGACAATACAGCAACAATACAGTTCAATACAAGGGGGATTTGAAGGCCCTGCTCCTTGGAGCTTACAATCTAGGAGGGATGGGCTAGTGGTACAAAGGGTAGTAACTGTGGGGGATGGACTGGTTGGAAAAGTAGAAGATTCCAGTATTAGCTGAGGGCAGGATAGGCTTCCCTGAAGAGATAGGTATTCAGAGATCACCTAAAAGTGAGCAGAGTAGGCGATAGTCTGATAAACTATCCCCCACAGCTATCTCGATCCCCCACAGCTATCTCCTCCTGTGCCACCATCCCCTCCCTCCTAGATTGTAAGCTTAAAAGAGCAGGGCCCTCAATCCCCTCATGTTTTGCATTGTATTGGTATTGTTCTGTCACATGTTCTGTCCCCCTTTGTAATGTACAGCGCTGAGCGAACTATTGGCGCTTTATAAATACTGTATAATAATAATAATAATAATAAACTGGGGTAGAGAGTTGTAGAGGATGGGGGAAGCTCTGGAGAAGTCCTGGAGATGAGCATGGGAGGAGGAGAGACAAGGGAGCTAGAGAGTAGGAGGTCTTGCGAGGAGCGGAGAGTACAGTAAGGGTGATATTTAGAGACAAGATTATTGATGTAATTTGGGGCAGAGTTATAAATGGCTTTATATGTTATTGTTAATGTTTTGAATTTTATCCATTGGGCAACGGGAAGCCAGTGGAGGGATTGGCAGAGAGGGGTAGCAGATATAGAATAGTTAGGTGGATGAGTCTGGCAGCAGCATTCATGATAGACTGAAGAGGGAATAGCCTGCGATTCGGTAGGCCAATGAGGAGGGAGTTACAATAGTCAAGGCGAGATATAACCAGGGAGTGAATAAGTTGCTTAGTGGTTTCCGAGGTTAGGAACATTGATAATTCTGCCCCCCTACACCTTCATACCCTTGATATATTTAAAGGTTTCAATCATGTCTCCCTTTCTCTTGCTTCCTACAGACAGTAAAAATTAAATTCATGAAGTCTCTCTTTATATGGCTTATCCCTAATACCTTTCACCATTTTTGTTGCCCATCTCTGGACATTCTATCTTATCAATATCTTTTTGCAAGTGAGGTCTCCAGAATTGGATACATTATTCTAAATGAAGTCTAACAAAAGATTTATATAGATGAATAAGGACCTCCTTCCTCCTGCTGGTGACCTCCCTAGTAATGCATTCTAAGATTCTATTTGCTTTCCCCACTGCATGGCCACACATTTTGTAGTCATCTGAAAAAAAGTACTCACAATTCTTTTTCCTCTGTAGCGCTGGCCAAAACCGTACCCCCAATACTATACTGTATCAAGGAATTATTTTTCCCTAGGTGCATAATTTTACATTTAGAAACATTGAACTGCAGTTTCCGCTGTTTTGACCAATTTTCCAGAAATGTCAAATCATGTTCTTGGTTACAGAAACCTCTGGGGATATACACCCTATTACACATGTTTGTGTCATTTGCAAAAAGACATGCCTTAGCCACCAAACCTTTAGTGGAACACCACTATCCTTTAGCCAACTGCATACAATTCTGCACAGTTAACAGATATGCAATAGTGTTAGTGAAGACCTGCCAAGACAAAATTTACCACTAGCTACACATGGGTGAATTAAAATCCTCCAAATTAGAACACTTTCAGTAAAATGAATCCCACTAATATGCTATGAACATATACTTTACCTTGGAAAAAGGTAAAGTTTCCAGTGAGTTCCGGCAATCTTAACATAAATCAAATAAAATAATTTCTATGGATGCCGTTATATATTACTAGGACACATGACCTTGCTTACTTTAGTAATAGTTCCATAAAAAACACTGTTACTGTAACTAAAGTAAGCATTAGTGTTACTTTAATAATTGCACAGATCTAAACCCAACCTACCTGGAATCCAGAAATATCAGCTTCATATCAAGACTGGCTCTGAACATGAACATATTACTGTGCAGTTTGATTTCAGTTACTGCACTAGGAGGGAGTGAATGACCTACAGCCACCAAGCCTACATTCTGGTAGCAGCCATCAAATGGTGACATGTCCAGACTATACTGTCTGATCTTCAAGTATCCACTACAATGAATAACCTGTAAGATACAAGAAAGAGATTCCTAACAAATCAGCATACTTTCATTTACATCCTTTTATTTACATTGATGTTTAATACAGGTTTTATGGAATTTATGAGAACAGATGAAAAAATTCTGAGACAGACATTAAAGTGAACCTGAATTGGTCTAAAAAATTTTTTAAGTAATAACAGTGCAAGAAGATTACCCGTACCTGTGTTAATCTTCAAACCAATCTCTGTTGAGCGCTTTTGAATCCTAGGCCAAGGACCTCAACATCTACCAAAGTGGAGATAAAGTCGTGTCACTTCAGGGACAAAGCCTCACCCCCAGTTGTTCAGCTACCAAATGCCAGCACTCAAGTGGATGGTGGTATATGACAACTGAATAACAGGTGGTGGGGCTTTGTGCCAGATGGCACAGGGCTTAATCTTGAAGTCAAGGCCCCATAGGGACACAAGAGTTTCCTGAAGGGTATCACAGACACTTCAGCGCTAATACCTTAAAAACATTTTGGGCCTACTCAGTTTCACTTTAATAGAAGGCTAGATGTAATAGTCTGATTTACTTCAATAAGATAAACAATTGTGATAATATTTAAAGTGTAACTGCACCTTTGGTACACTGTACCAAAGTCAAATAATTCCTACACTAAGTACAGATTAGCTTGCTTCAGCTACAAAATTAAAAGGGAGACTGAATTTTGTGTGTTCTGGCTACCTTCTGGCCTGACAAAACCACACAGGGAAAAGTTTATGCCCCGGGATCAGCAGAATAATGTTTTTCCATACCCCATGACCCAGCACAGGAGATGTATGAGTATTTGTTCAGGCTTACACACAAGTTTCCCAATGTAACTTTGCTGGAGCAGATAGGAGAGTACTGACGATAACTATTGCTGTACTTCAAAGGCAGCAACAAGGTACTTGAAAAAATAATAATTATTATATTTACTTTTTATTATATAAAATTTTTATTATTTTTATATATAAAGCAATTCCGTGTTCAATACAACTATACCAAACTCATTAAACTTTGTAAATGAAAGAAATAAAACAGGGTTTATAATTGGAGTTTCCAATAATTTGGTTGCCCTGCTTAGAAGGCAGAAATAGCCTCTGTTGCCTAAGTATCACCTAATTGGAGCTCTTCCTATTGAACAAGAACTCCCACAAGGCCGACAGTAAAAAATGATACAAAACAGCACAGTTTTGGGGAAACGGGCAGTCCATACAAAACCATTGCAGGTACATTTGCAAATTGAAACATATAAGCATCATTGGCTTGTTTAGCCAGGACATAGTTATATTAATCGATTCATTCATAAAAGACCAAGTCTATCCCTCATGAAGATCACCCACCTTATACCCTCCACAGGTCAGACCTGCATTCCTCTTTGCCAGCACACACTTCATCCGCAGAAAAAATGAACGCTCAATCTCATATTCTGCAAGGCAAGACAAACAGTGTTACTTGTATGTCACATTCCCCTAGCTCTGATTCTCCACAGACAGCAGTACAGAGCTGTGATTTACCCTGGACAAAGTGTGAATGGTAGGGCTGATGAGCTGTAAGCACTGCAGTCATTTCATCATGATCAGCAGGATGGATGTATTCATAGATGCTATTTCCAGTCAATTCTACCTGCAAAAGCAAAAACATACAATTTATCTTTATAGTCTGGCTGTGTAGTCTTTCATGTAGCTAAGCAAAATTAATTTTTACTATGCAATCTATTGAGATTAACAATATGATTATGATATCCCCTATTTACGATTTCAATACGTCACACTTTCACCCCCTTCTGACCCAAACTGTTTTTTACTGTCACACTTTGAATGAAAATTACTCAGTTATGTGGAAAGTGAAAGACAATCAGCGCAGTCACTATTAAAGCAAAATACCATAAGCTATCTGTGACATATAAACTTAATGTACATAAATCACAAGCAAGTCAACAGTTGGAGTATAGCCCCAGAGGGGCAAAAGAGCATTTAACATTGATTATTGGTTAAGGTCCAATCCAGGAGGGGAGCGCATATTGGGTGATGCATGTGACACATGAGTGATCCATTGAAGAGAAGACTGTGATATCTGGATTTCACTAGTAGTTGGCCATACATACATATTTAAGGATTTTTTTTGTTTCGTGTTTCATCTTTTGGTCATTTGGAGGTTATGTATTGGAGAGACACTATTTTAGTTGCGCTGCATCATTATTTGTCACAGTTAAATCACAATTAATCATGCAACACTGTGCCCGGTTAAAATTTTTTATAATTTTTTTTAGACAGATAGAGCTTTCTATTGCTGGTATTTAATCACAACTGGGTAAAAAAACACTTACAATTCTGGAACAAAACACATTTTTCTTAGTTTCTACTATAAACTTTTGCAAATGGATAATTTTTCTTCATAAATTTAGGCCGAAATGTATTCTGCTACATTTCTTTGGTTAAAAAAAAAAAAAAAAATCACTATATATTATTTAGTCTATGTGAAAGTTGTACAAGCTATGGTATGC